GGCCGTATTTAAAATACAGCGGAATGTCATTATATGAATAATATTAGGTAGTTAAACACATTATATCCAAATTCAAAATTTATTCCCAAATATTGTCTGTAAAATATGCTGAAAAACTAAGCCCAGTTTGGGTCGTTGGCCATTTTGTATAACTTTCTTCAGTTTTAACTAGTTTATTTTCCTGCTATTTAATTTAATTTCGCAGAGTTAAGATATCAGACTGATTAATAGCAATTCGCCAGAAAAATGACAGAGTATATACACACAAAACATTTGTACATGGTTTGAATAAAAACATAAATGACAGACAAACAATAGTTATCTAGTTTTAACATGCATAATATGATATATTAATAGATTGTAACATTAGGTTAGATATAGAATTAGGATATTCAATCCCGAGTGAGAACATTGAGGTCAGGAACGTGTCTTGGCTCATATCTAATATTTGATATCGATCAAGTTAAGAATGTCTTTACATTTTATAACGCACATACTGAACGCTGTCAATGGTATTGAAATTGAGTGATGTATTGTAAAGTGGTCCTCGGATTCCGTTATAGGTTGTAATAAAATTGTCAAGAAGTCGGAAATGAAATGAAATGCAAAGATAAAGATTGATTTATAGATAACATATTTGAAGAGACAGCAATAATTTTCCACCAAAAAAGGTGAAATAAAACGTTTTCCAATTGAAAAGGTATAATACAAAAAACATGTATTTTTAGGATAAACTATTTATGCATGAAACATAAGTTATAAAAAAATGTTTTGTCATTAATCCTGATATTAATCATCGAGTTTGTGTAAGTATTTTTTATAACTTATATAAAGACTTATTCTAAAAGAAGTAGTCATAGACGTTGGTGACGTGTGTACACACGAGCATTACACATTGTCAAAATATATCTCACAAAAGTATCAATTTTAGCCGGCTGACATGAACTAATCTCCCAAATTTGTTTTAAAATGTAAGGCAGTGGGATATGAGTTTAGCCTGTCTGTCTTTATTGAATGGGTGATTTCTCTTTTATTTTTCTTTCATTTCACTTACCAGCGCAATCTATGAACCGAGCCCTAAACGTTGATGAGTTATAGACTATTCCAAAAATACCGTTTACAATATCCATATATCTAACCACGAGATTTCAATCAAAAGTATTATCTCAATAATGATATAATGTTTGATCAGCTATATAAAGTCATACCCATACAACGCCTTTATGAACTTCAAAAGACTTTATTAATTATGTATCAAATCTCTGTATTTATACATCTTTGCCAACAGCGTTGATTTATTTTACCGAAAATAATAAAAATTTGTCTCGTATTAGTAATTTTGTGTCCAAATACTACTTAAAAGTCGTTTTTTATTGATGAATTTCTGAAGAAACATTTCACAAAAAAATTAATCATTAAAAACTTGACCAATTTACATACCTCATACCTTTTTTATGGTTTTGAGATTGCATTTTTTATTACTTTTAGCCGACATAATGGATCTATTGAAAATACCATAATGTCTGGTTGAAACTGTAACTGCAATATATGATGCAAAATCAAATATTGTTCTCATTGTGCTGTAAAAGATATTGACAAAATATTGCATACATTTTCTTCTGACAACAAATAATTATATTGATAGTTAATCATTGCTGCAAATATAGTGAGGCTAGTACGCTTTTTCCGTGTCCGAGTTTTTGGTCCGATAAATGCTGCTAACAGTCATGTAAGAGTACACTAAAAGCTGTAGTTTCGAAGAGAATTGTGAAGAAGTTGATTTTGATAAAAATATAGATGGACACATCAGACTGCACCATGTCTCTTATTTACTCTTAGAAACTTTCTATCGGACGTAACTTTCTTAAACTATGAGAATACTGTACTTTCAGTACCGTTGTATTTTCAGAGTACATTGTATATGTGTATGTTTAGACATATCGAAGTACATAGTGTAACTCTTGTATTTTCATACTTATCAGAGTACATTAATATATCTTTTGTAACTACACACATATCTAATAACGTAATATTTACAGACCTATCAGAATAGAAATAATATATCGTTTGTATCTACATACATATTTGAGTACATTACATCTTTCCTATCAGAGTAGAGTTCACCATAACTCTAGTTTACCCTAAGAGAAATGAGATCGCATTATATCTCTTTTATAAATTTACAGAAATAAAGGAGCATCGTATATCTCTTATAACCACTTAGAAATAACAGTACAGTACACTTTTAGCCATTAAAGTGTACATCGCATCTGTCTTATTGTTCAGACCTATCAATCTTCAATGCAAGTAATTAATAAAATTTGACATATAAGAGTGCGTCTTATCTCATCGCATCTCCATTATGTAAACAAGAATTAGAGTGCAACAAATAACTATGCATCATGTCGCACTGGTACCCAGCATATAATATCTACACCAACAAACAGATGAATATTAAATATATCCCCGATATACGTTAAGACATAACAAGGTTAGTAATAAATCACCAATGCACTCAGATTAACCAGGTTTATGATATATTAAATTGTCCATTCTTTTGGACAAAAACATATATCGTCATGTTCATCTTTAATAAAGATAATGTTTATTACATTATACCAATAACAACATTCATATCAAGACACTAGCAATGTATTTCTGAGTATTAAATTTCACAGAGGCTTACAATTCAATTTTTATAATTCAAATTTATTTGCATTCGGGGCCCAGGTATTAAGTTTCTATCTTGAAAAAAAAATATTCAGCTCTCTTTTTTTCCTCAGGATTTTGTTACAAAATGCTTAAACAACAGAACGCATTACTGTCCGTACTGGTGGAGGAATATATGTTACATACTATAAATTTTAAACATAATCACCTATTATAGTATACAAAGTTTGATGTACAATGTGATGTGTATATATACGGTAGTTTTACCAAGTTAGTGTTATATTTCAAAATAGAGAAAATATGAATCCCTAAATAAAGCCCAACAAGGCAAAATTGAAAATGTTACAGGCTCGGTTTGATTGAGCCTGTTCATGGACGGTACTTTCAAGTGCAAACTACCGTTCACGCCCCATAGCACATGATTTACGCAGGTACTTAAAACGCATTCTTACATTTAATCTTTTCCGCCATGTTTGTTTTGCAGTTTTAATATTTCAGAAGTCAGAAAAATGTGTTAACCGGATTATAGTTTAAATCATCTTGATATTCAAACAGTAAATAGCACAAGTGTTTATACAGATACACGTATACATACAAGTTGATTTATAAATTAGATTACTAACTATGTCTTCAACAGGTACCGAAAACTACAGTAGAATCATTGTGACATTAATGAAAGGTGGAACAAAACTAACAAGAAGACTTGTGGAGAAAACAGTTAAAGATCTTAGCAAGAATGGTGGAGAAAATACTATCGATGAATTTTTGCTAAAAAACAAATCTTTGTTATTAAAACGAAAATTGGGAGAGAACAATCAGGATGTGTTTTTTCCACCGTCCGGACACACGAATCTAGATAACTGGGACCTGGGCATGTTATGTTTTATTCTAGAAGAAACGTGTGGTCTGACAAATATTATGAAGATGTATATCAAGAAGCTTTTAAAGATCAGAAACAAACTTTGTCATTCAAAGGACCCAACGTTAGAAACGAGAAAATTCGAGGAGTATACTGAACAAATGAAATGCAGCTTTGAACACTGTCTGAAAGAAATCAATGATGACGAGTTTACAGAGGAAATAAATGCACTTGTTCAGTCATTAGCCACTGGTCCTTTGTCATTATTTGATTTGCTAGAAGCTGTTCATCAGCGTTACTTTAAAGAAATGACAAATAAAGAAGTCTTGGAAAAAATTAAGAATGGTAAATGTATCTTCTCTATATCTTTTAATAGCAATATTTAAGATATCTGTTACAATTTTGTACAAGTAATTTGAAAATATATAACTCTGTATGCCCTAAGTAAAATATCTTTGTTTCCTTAATAAAAAAAGTTAATTTAACATCAAATCAATTAATACATGATATCCATCTTTTTTTTTACTTATGCATAGACCATGACTTGACAATTGGAAAGCTTGACACACTTCTTGAAAAGATTGAAAGACTTGATTCTCGATTGCCATCTGGAGCTTTTGTGGACAATCCGGGTAATTTAAAACAATTAGATTGTTTTCATATAAAATTTATACGTGATAAGTCAGTACCAAATAAATGTTTATTGTGATGAATGTATAACTTCAGTCAATATGCTTGTTTGGATATTGTTGATATTGCTCTGCATCTTTAAGATATAAAATTTGTTTTAAGTAAAATGTCCAATACCTATCCTCCCACTTATACATACAGCTTATCAAATTAAAACATATAAAAATTCCCCTGCCAAAAGAAAAACTTCACCTTCAAACATATAGAATGTATTTTATGTTAAATTTTGAAGTTTGAAATAGTTTTAACAATCAACTACCCGTGTATATAATAGAAGTTAAATAGATAATATATTTGTTAAACTTTTGCGTCTATTTAGGTCAAGTACGTTACACATGAGCACCTATGCGTTTATATTCCCTTTTGCTATACACCTCATTCAAATGTTTATAATTTAAGAGATCAGTACTGATATAATCATGGGATACCACATTTCGGTACAAAATAACTAAGTTTAAATATAACTATTTTGGTCAATATTTTGTTCTATTTTTGGAATCATTAATTTATCATAAATTAGATTAGCAACTATGTCTTCGACAGGTACCGAAAACTACAGTAGAACTATGCTGACATTAATGAGAGGTGGAACAAAACTAACAAGAAGACTTGTGGAGAAAACAGTTAGAGATCATAGCAAGAATGGTGAAGAAGATACTATCGATGATTTTTTGCTAAAAAACAAATCTTTGTTATCAAAACAAAAATTGGGAAAGATCAAGCATGATGTGTTTTTTCCACCGTCCGGACACACGAATCTAGATAACTGGGACCTTTGCATGTTCTGTTTTATTCTAGAAGAAACTTGTGATCTGTCATATACTACAAAGATGCGTATCAAGAAGCTTTTGAAGATCAGAAACAAACTTTGTCATTTAAATGACCCAACGTTAGAAAAAATAAAATTCGAGGAGTATACTGAACAAATGAAATGCAGCTTTGAATACTGTCTGAAAGAGATCAATGATGACGAGTTTACAGAGGAAATAAATGCACTTGTTCAGTCATTAACCACTCGACTACACGTGCATATAATAGAAGTTAAATAGATAAGAGATTTGTTAAACTTTTGCCTCAATTTAGGTCAAGTACGTTACACAGGAGCACCTATGCGTTTATATTCCCTTTTGCTATACACCTCATTCAAATGTTCATAATTTAAGAGATCAGTACTGGTATAATCATGGGATATCACACTTCGGTACAAGTTAACTAAGTTTAAATATGACTATTTCATTTTTGTATTTTGGTCAATATTTTGGTCTATTTTTGGAACAGACGGTATCTTGCAAGGGACTTAGTCCAGTAAAATTAGCCCAACAATCAAGCTAACCTAGAACTAATTGCAAAAGTTTTTGATTTAGTATTTTATGATGGTACCATATCTGCTTGATAATAGGAAAAAGTTGATCTCTTTTGCTGGAGGGGAAGTGTGATAATTTTAGCTTTCAAGTTGACACCCTTAAATTTCAGTTAAAAATTCAGTGTAATTTGTTAATTTCCGATGATACTAAAAAGACACTTCGGTAATCCAAATATATAGAATAAACATAATTATAACATGCAAACTTCATACAGTCAGGACTCATTACAACGACACTGTTGGTTCCCAAAGGATATGTCAGTATATCGAATTTGTCAGTATATTGAATTTCATCATTTATCATGTAATGATATGCTTATTCACTGGTATCTGAACATTATGTATTTAGATCTATAATAAACATCTATAATGAAAAAGATTTTTGTGTTTATGTGTTCACTTTATTATACACATTACATATCATACACATAATACAACAACTTTATTAAAATAATAACAACTAAAATAGTTAAAGATTGATATGAAAATGATAAAACTTTATAAAATAAAAAGCACATACAATGATAGGACTTTTAAAAGCTAAACCTTAAAAAAATGATTGCACACTGTTTGTTGTCTTTGTCAATTAACGAAAAAAGTCTTTGATACTTTTCTGAACCTTGTTTGATTGTCCAAAAGTTAAATTAGTCCGTTGGCGTTTAGCTAGAGATTCTGCCATTATTGTAATAAAGAAAAGTCACAAGTTGGCAAGTGTAACAAAATTCAGCTGACAACAACTCGTTGGTATTGTAATGTGGTGTAACAATCAACTGACCAAGCTACAATACCTGTTTTAACATCTTGCGGCTTTTGTTCACGGCTCAATGATACGCGCACTTTTCTGACCAAGTGTCAGTTTAACGGGTACTGATTGTATAGAAAATAACACGTTTGGTTTCCAATTTTATTGTGTCGGAGTCGGAATACGAATTTTCCGTTATAAAGGATTATAATAACGTTGAAAAAAATGGTTCCCACCAATTCACTCTCGTTATTTGAATTTGCAAGTATAATGGATTCCGATGTATTGAGTCCTGACTACTGGGATATCACATTTTGGTACAAGTTAACTAAGTTTAAATATAACTATTTTGGTCAATATTTTGGTCTATTTTTAGAACAGAGGAATCTTGCAAGGGACTGTCTTTTAACCACTTTAAAATCGCATGCCTGGTTTCTGTTACCGAAATGATTACGGTGGATAGAAAAATACATAAATAAAAGGAACATGTTTATAAGTAACACCTGTATTAACTACCATACAAAAATATCAGTCATTTTAATTAAATTTTGATAAAAAGTCATTTTTACCGAATACATTTGAAATATTATTCATCATTATTTAATTATGATGCTATATCAGTCAAATATATTGATTTTCATATTTCTTAAAAATAAATATTTTTCGCCAATTTGTTTGAAAAATCTGATAAATACAAAACAATTGTTTGCTGAATTTTGCTTTGAAAACTATCTAGAATGATAGAAAATGGTCTAACTGGCCTCGGCCCGGTGAATTTTCGTACTATTTCTTCTATAGTAAATCAGTCAAATTTGAGGCTTAATTCTGGATTCCACTGTTCTTAATGAATTATATACTGTCTTCAACTATAAACATTAACACTATCTAAGTCCAATGAGGCCCAAAATATTATAGGTTAGCCATCTACTTTTTTTCAGAAATCTTCATTCTGTTGTAACACTGTTTAAATTCACCACTTTAAAAACTCCTGACAGCTGGTGGGTAGTACATCTTTAATCCTTCCACCAACAAATGAGTTCCTGGAGAATACACAAAAAAACAACTTTTAAAGTCATCATCATATAACACACAAAAACTACACACATGCAATAAATACACTTTAATTTTGACCAATCTAACTAGAGATGACTTAAACTGGGCCATTTCAAAATTTTAAAGAACTACTTTCTAGACTACAATGGGTTCGGTCTAATTCGTACCGGGTTGAGACCAACTAAGAAAATAAATCCGAACACCAATATCTTTAATTCCGTCCCGGCTCGTGAAAATATGTGGCATTTTATAATGTTGAGTGAAAATATATTCCAGATTTCACTCAAACAAAAAAATATGCTCTTATTATTTTCTAATAAAATACGTCATAATATGCAAGTATATGAATTGTGATAGAGGTTAAAAATTGCAGTGCAGAAACAAAGTTTTAGATATTTTAGAGAGGCTAACGAACAGAAAGTATCAAGTCTTGAGGAAGGTCTTCCAAACGGTGTTCTGCTTACATTACGGAAAACAGTTGCACAAGTATTTCAAGAGTTTTTAGCTCGACTATACGAAGTATATGGAGAGCTGTCTTACTCGCCCCGGCTTCGGCGTCTTCGTCCAGATTTCAGATTAGTTTTGGTGCAGTAAAATATTTTTCACTATAACTTTGACGTTACTTAAGATATCAACTTTAAACTTCAAATATATGTTCCTTATCATCAACCACATCTTATGTGACAAGGTTCATAACTCTAGCACCAATTCTTTTAGATTTATCTCCCCTTTAACTTAAATTTTTTCTTAAAATATATAATTTTTTAATGTTATTTTTTTCTATGGGGATAAATTTCAAACTTGAAATATATGTACCTTATCATTAACCACATGTTATATGACAAGCATAACTCTAGCAATATTGCAAGAATGATCTCCCCATAAACTAAGATTAATTTACTTGAAAAATGTTATTTTTTACTATAACGTTTTTAGTTTCAAAGGTATCTACCTCAAACTTCAAATACTTATTCCTTATCATCAGTTACATTTTATGTGATAAGGTTCATAACTCTTGAAGTAATATTTCCAGATTTATCTCTCTTTAAGCTTAGGATTATCTTTAAAAAATATTATAACTTCTTTACTTTTTAAGAAATCTACTTCAAACTTTAAATATATATTTCTTATCATTACACACATGTTGTGTGACAAGGTGTATAACTCAATACGAATAATGGTCCACATATTCTGGCTGCAAGAAAGTCCACGTCAGGCCGTTAAAATTATTTTGCTTACATTTTCTCAGATGACCAGCATTTCGACAATAACTCAACCCATCCCTCACAAAACCGAGGCATTCTTATATACATTGTTTAATACATGTATGAATAAAGAGGAAGAATTTATCACATGCTATTGCAACATTACACCAGGTGTACACTATGGACAAAAAGTAATAAAATATTAATTTGACTGATCTAATATAGAACAGTACATACAAAGTCAGTATCATCTAGCTTTAATGATGGTCATTTAAGAATATCCAAGACCATATTTGACGTACTTTCATACCCTGTGTTTTTTCCATGGATGGGCAGGTTTTGTACAGTCATGATGTACATGTATGTGCAAAATGACATACATACTACATACAGATATGTGCAGACTCAAACAACAATTTTAAACATCAATAGTAAAACTGCATTGGTTACTCATTTGAAATTCAGCTATTCTACTTAATAATAATGTAGTCAATCAAGAGACCACAGCAACCACAAGCTTGTTCATTAATATCAACAAGGGCTGTCAATAGAACAGTTGTTCTATTTATCTATTCTCAGAACTTGATGGAAAATGTTTGAATTAACTAAGGAATATTTCATTTATATATATATATATGATCAAGTCTTGCAATTTGTTTTATGTTCGCATGAGGCCATATTTCATTTAAAATCCACAAGTTATGACTCTTTGACAGTTACCTCCAAGGTATACTATTATTACGTTTCAAGATTAATTAAGGTCACTCACAATCACAGAGATAAATTGACAAATATTTCTCTTCCTATGAAGTTAACATCCTAAGTCAATAGTAGCAATAGAAAAACAGCAAGATCAAACTTGACCAACACTAAATATATATAGGTTGGGATAAGCTAGCTATGTTACAACCAGTTTTGCAATAAAAACGAGTTTTGCAATAATTTTATTGCAAAACTCGTTGCGTTGACATGATTTTATTGCAATTTGATCACAACCGGTTTTGCAATAAAAACGAGTTTTGCAACAAAATAGTTTTTCTTTAAGTACGTTATCCCATGTGTAACAACATTTAATCCCAAAAATACCAATATTTCCCAAGCAATTCGATCTTGTGAGAATGTGTTACGAAAAAGTGAAAGGATGAACAGTGTTTTAGAAAAGAAGCGCATTATAAACAGTAAAAGACAAGCAAAAAATCTTCAAAACATCTTAACCTCTTCAAAGTTCGACATGACAAATAATACTGTAACAACGGTTTCTAAATGCAACAGGAGTAGGTGTAAGACATGTCCTTCTCTAATAGAATGAAATGAAATACAATTTTGTAACAGTAAGACATTTAAGATAAAACAAAGTATGAACTGTGTTTCAAAAAATGTGATATATTCAATAATTTGTGACAACTGTAAACAGTTTTATATTGGCCAAACAAAAAATGAATTAAGTAAACGTATGACTTTACATAGGCAACAAACAAACACTGAAGAACTCAGAATGTTACAAGTAAATAAACATTTACATAATTGTTCAGGAGGTAAATTTAGCATTTTCCCTCTATATAAGATATTAATCGAAAGTGACAATTTTAGAGAAGAAAAAGAAAAACTTTTAATCAAGTTATTAAAACCACAGCTAAATGCTCATTCAATTTGGTAATAATCGTTTAACAAGGTATATATATATAAGTACATCATATTTATTACAATCTCTTCATTTTTAATTATGAAAGAAACGCTTGCGATTTTATTCAATCCAATTGTCCGTTTATTTACCAATATTTATTGAGTAAAAATTGTTAATTACCATACAATTTGTGGCCATAAAATCATTAACTTGTGAATTTTATTACCTCCCTTTAATAAATGTCATTAATTCGATGCCAGATTGTACGGATTATGCTCAATGTCCGTAATATTATAATTTTTCAGTATAAATAACCATATTGTGTTTGCCGGGAAATACGTTATCATTTAACGTTCCCGCTTTTTTTTTCATGACGTTACGTCATTTGTTTATATGTTTATTGTTTATTAAAGTTTCGGCTGAAGATATGCGAAGAAAGCATTGAAAGCGCTACCGAATTTACTTAGAGTTTGTTATTTCTTAAACATTATAATTTTATCTATTTCAACACTGCACAAGGGACA